ATAGCTCCCCCCACACACACACACACACACACACACACACACACACACACACACACACACACACACACACACACACACACACACACACACACACACACACACACACACACACACACACACACACACCTGTATCTGAGAGTGGCTGTGCTGACACGTCCCGCAGCTGCTGGAATCAGGCCTGCTGGGACCATAAATTAATAACGCTACCGTAGGGAGGACCGAACCCTGCACTCCTCTGTACGGATGATCTATGGATGACTTCACCCAAACTGACCGCCTGCCGCGGCCCGACAACCACATACAGTATCCCGCAGTCATCTATATATCATCTATATACACGTGTCTCTTATTTAAAACAAACAAACAAACAGCTTAAACTACAGCTTTTCCTTCTTGATCTACTTTAAAATGACTCCATCAATCATTTGGGAGGAGTTGCTCAGCTCTGTCGTGATGTCAATGTTTTACATATTAATGAGGCAGTAAAACATGCTTTACTATGGCAACTGGTCTTGTTTCTCGTGTTGTTTGGGAATGAAGTTGAATTTGTAAGCGTGTTGTTGTAAATGATGTCATCATGCGGTACTGGATCACGCACACTCTCTCTCTCATACACACCAAACTCACACACACACACACACACACACTCACTCACGTATGTTTGTTTTTGTGAATTGTGGGGACTTTCCATAGGCTTCTATTACTTTTATACTGATCAAACGATATTGTCTATCCCCTAACCCTAAACCTACCCCTTACAGAGAGCCTGTTTGCATTGTTACACTTTCAGATAAACATCATTTACTATTTTAATCATTTTTTTCCCTCATGGGGACCGCAGGCCAATCCCCACAATGTCAAAAATGTCAGGTTTTACTATCCTTGTGGGGACATTTGGTCCCCAAAATGTAGCATAAACAAGAACACACACACACACACCCACACACACACAGACACACTCTCTCTCTGTCTCTCAGTCACTCACTCACACACACACACACACGCACACACACACACACACACACACACACACACA